AGCAGGAAAAAGCTTCAGAAATAATGTATTCACCTGCAGGCCTATCTGATAATGTTCCACAAAAACCACTAGAAGCAGCAGCTGTGGAGCCATTTTGAAAATCATTGACAAGCGAATCTTTTAATATAATACCTCTCTTCATATTTTCAATATCTCTGATAGAAGGTTCAACTGATTTGACTTGATTCTCTTGTCTAGCAAAGGAAAATCTGGATTGATTGGTATTTTGTAAAATCCGTGGCCTTGAAAGCATAAAAGAACCATTTTGGCCATCATTTTCATTAAGTAGCATAGACAGGTTGTTAGTTAGCGACAATGAGTCATTCCATGGGTCAAAATCTAATGATAATATATTTGTAATGATGCTGCTTTCTTTGGTATTTACATTGGCATCCTTGTCACTTCCACCTAAATCATTAGAACTATCAACATATCTGCAACCTACAATAGAGCTTATCTCAGCACTGCCTAAAGAGCTCTCAGGTTTGTACATATTGTTAAGGCTTACTTTATCTCCCTCATTGGAAAGGGCATAATTAGAAACTGCATTTGTGTGCATGAAAGACTCTCCAGATGAAGAGTTGATAGTTCCATCAAGGTTATTTAAGCTATCACATGGCTGATGATTGTGATTACTAAGAGAGTGAGTAAATTGGGGGGAACATGATCTTTGAGTGGCGTCAACAGAGCCTATTTGTCTTGTATCAATAACAGCTAAAGAAGAATCCTGATCCCCATCTCCTGATGATTCTAAATCCATCTTTGGCAGCTCAATATTCCAACTGGGTGTGGAAACTGAAGCTAAATTTCCTAGATCTTCAGAATCATATTGCTCTTTTCTAGATAACTGGTTTTTCAGTGTAGTATAATCCGCAAAAGCATTCTTTTTACGCAAGCGCCCCATGTTTTGTTTACTTTTATCCATATTTGATGTGTGTTGATTAACATCTGTTGAACTACAACGTTGTTTGTGCAAACTTTCCTCACACATTAAATTCACAGAATCTATATTTTTCCCAGATGCAAAGATAATATCCTTGTCTTGAGAAACATGCGAGAAACTGTAACTTATTTTATCTGAAGCACAATTTGTTGACAAGCCCGCTCCTGAAGTTTGGCATTCACCATCTACAGCAGATGGAGCCTGTAAAGGAAAACTTTCCTCAACAAGCTTAGACTCTATGATAGGTTCATCATCCCATGCTGAATCTCCAAAACCGTGAGCATCAAAATGAAGAGAAAGAGACAACGGATCTGATTCAGTTGTTAGAGAGGACTGTCCAGAATGAAATTTAGAAGATCCCGAAGGAAGGGGATTGCCATTCCCTTCTTCAGTTAAGGATGCTGTAACGTCATCATCATGCCAAGCAGAAGACACCTCCTTTGCACCCATGGTGATTGAAGAATACGTAGATGAATGGTTTTTGGTTTCTACCTTTTGTTTCATTGAATTTTCGGAGCATACAGTGGTTGCAGACAACATTGAGCCTTTTGAAGCACGTGAACCCCTAAGAAAGTTAAGAGTTAGAAGACCAAAACTCTGCCAGATGGAAACATAAAGAATTGGCTTTTAACATTCTTATGTATTTACGAATATCACAAATACTTTCATATTTACACACACAGCACTCGAATATTAAATTTCACATCAAAAATAACACTATTAGCACTTTTAGAAGTGAAATGCACCTTTTCACACAAAAGTTTAAAGCATCAAGGTGCAATGTATGTAAATATGAAAATTTAGGTGTCAGATGTGCAAATAAATAAGAATTATGTGCTAGGTATGTAAATTTCCCTTCCCTACAAAGAAAAAATGCATACCAGAAGGAAGCTGCTGGCAGAATAGGAAGCCTTCCAGCAATAGCATTTGAAACTGTGGCCTGAACTTCAGAAGCCTGTCAACATGAGGAAGAGAATAACAGTGAGAAAGAAAGAGAGAGAAAGGGGATAGGAGGCTTCAACTGAATTAGAACCAAGAATAGACAGTTAAAATTAGGGGCATTTAAATGCATACACCCAGTTCATATGTATTTACAAATCGAACACCTAAATTTTAAATTTTACAATTATACCACCCCAATTGATTAAATCGCATCAAAAGTACAACTATTTTAACTTCTAAAAGTGAAATACACCTTATCATGCCTAGATAAGGTGGTATGTATGTATGTAAAATTAAAGTTTAGCTATTAGATATGTAAATACATAGGAATTGAGTGGTTGTATGTAAATGTTCTACAAATTACTTAAGAGCATACTTTTGAGGCATTATTAACTGAATGTTTGTCAGAGAGTGTTTGCAAGTTGCACCAATCCTCTGCAGGAGGCAATAAACTTCCTACACGTCTTTGTAAATTAGAGGAAGGAACCTGAGAGACAACACTCCTGCAATGCCAAAAAATAAACATTAAAAAACTAAAAGTATTAACAAAATAACATGAAAGAATGCATCCATGAATCAAATTCAATGTCTATGAAAGAAGAAACAGCACATCGTACCCAATAATACAATTTCCTCTGCCAAATCATAACTCCAAAATATTTCCCAAAAGTAGAAATTCTTCACAGAAATTAGAAGAAATGTATGGAGTGTTCAGTACTAGACCGAAAAGATTGCAATGAAACAAATTCATGCATGCTCTTACAACTATTAATCCAAAAAAATTTCTAATTTTGGGTTTCTCTCTAACAAACAATACCAATGGAGTGCACTTCCAATAAACAGCCAACTGCTTTTTGGAGCCTAGTGAATGCTGAAAGTATAAATAAAAAATAATGTAAGCTGATTCCAGGATAGATTTCTTATTAACTGATATGAGTAATAAAATGCTTTACGTAAAAGAAAGCATAGAATTCACAAATCCCAAGTTGCCAATTATAACAACTTTCTTTCAATGAAAACATGCAATGGTGGATTACAAACCCTATTGACAACGAAATTAGTAAAAGTGAGCATACAAAAACTCCAACAAATTTTTTTTACAAATAAAATCATAGCAAATGAATTAATTGCCACAAAATAAGATTTTTTTACGTATCGCTTTAAGAAAAATCAAAAGTACTAAATTAGACAATGCAACAATTTTTATTAAAAAAAAAGAAGAGGCATGAAATTACCAAAATAATAATAATAATAATAATAAAAGATCATGCCAACATCGGTATATGAAAATGTCTCCCAAAGGTAGTTACACTCAATATGCCACCCTAAAAATCTACATGATCAAGCACTAATCTCGATAAGATAACTTCTGGACTCGAATCCAAGATCATTCAGGCTCTAACTTCAACAAACTTATACTCAAATTGAATATCTCGACAATACAAACCCAACGACACTAAAAACAATTCAAAAGTCAAATGATTCCCAAATTTGGTAAGTTTATGGCCAAACTGAGCATTTCAATAAGTGGAATCCAACAAGCCCAATATCACTCAATTTTTAGTTCACTAAGTTGCTCGAATTCTAAAAGAATGATCTATAATCAAAGGAATCAACATAAATTGCCCGATCGAGTTTCTTGGGATTTTGGCTGAACTTACAGAAATGCATCTCCCAAAAATCTATAAATAAGACCCATTTTCAGCATGAAGAGGGAGGAGAAAGGGCTAATTCCACAGCTTTAATAAGAGTGGAAAGCCAACATCTCCCAAAGATCATCGCCAACCACTACTAGCAGCTGTTATAGCCTGATTATTATTCCCAAGCATTTTTTGTTTGACTTTTGTATATTAGTCAAAACTATGTTACTCATTTTCTTTATTTAGAGAGAAAATTGAAACTATGTATCTTAAAATATATAATAAATTACTTTGAATAATCAGGCCCGAAATTTTTTCCTTTTTCTAGTTTTTCAGGTAAAATCTCTAATGTCTACTCATTTAACACTTATTTTATATGTTGAATCTTCGTCTAACACTAAGACATTAACTTATCGCTCTGCCACTACAAATATTTTAGCACGCAACACTAATACCGCACTAAAAAAAATCAGACATTCAACATGCACTCACAATGTTGAAAAAAAAAATACTCAAACCAAAAGTTGTAAATTACACTTATCATAACCTAGGTTAGTAGATAAGGTTGGCACAAGGTAATCTTATTTGAAGTTATAAAAATCTTAACTTATCCTAAATCAAACAACCTACTACATTTAATTTGAGGAATTCAAATCAAACAGCTACAACTATCAAAACCAACCCAGGTAACTGTGCCCAGGTGCGAAAATCTCGTTAAACTACCCCTGTAGTAACCTACCACAATAACCAAACAATATGTTGAGCAGCACTACTGAAACATCAGAAAGGGGAAAAAAATCCTAAATCAAACAATCTACTATCAATTTAATTTGAGGATTTCAAACTACAACCATCAAACCCAACCCAGCTAACTGTGTGAAATTCTTGCTAAATTACCCCTTTAGTAACCTACCACAATAACCATAAACAACATGTTGAGCAGCACTACTGAAACGTCACAAAGGGAAAAAGCCCACAATAAATGCCCCAAGCCAAGTAACCACTTCTTTTGTTTTTTTTTTAATAATTCCAAATTTCTACTACAAGATAATAAATGACTAAACTGCCTCATCATGTGATGGATAAAATGGGATGCAAGAAAATGAAGAACTCTTTCCTCCACCAAGATGCCCTCCAGGAAGTTTGTTTTAACAATTACATTTAAATAGAATTTGTCCAATTTGTACAGATAGCATAGGAAAGTTGGAATCACAATCTTAAACCATCTTTTCCCACATTCCTACTTAACCTAGAAAAGCTGTACAATGCGTAAACAAAAAAAAAAGGTTGACTAAGAAACAACAAGCTCACCAAACTTGGTGTATAAAACTAAAATTGCATTAGGTCTAGCACGAGACAATGAATGTTTCCATAGGAAACTCAGAGGCACTAAACTTGCTCAACAATAACATGAGGTTCTATAGAAAACTCAGAACTTTCTGATTGAATTTGAAATCTATCAACAAAAAAATAAATAAAAATAGAAATAAAAAAATAAAAAAATAAAAAAATATTTACAAAAAGCTAAAAAAGTGTTTCTATGTATTACTGCCAATTTCTCCTGAAAGTTGTGAAACTATTTCAACCACTCAAACTAAAAAAATTCAGGATTACAGCAAAATTTACCTACAAAATTCAAGTAGAAGGTGAAGACAAAAATTTCATAACTCTCCATCTAAAGCAAAAACAGAAATTTTTTAAGTGTCGGCTAGAAAATACCTTGTATATGCTGAAATAACTTCATCCTTAGTGAAGCTATCCTCTTGGCTACCTATATCATGCAAATATAAACAATCTGGATTGCTGCAACTCTGGCCCAATTCAAGCAGTAAATCAAGCAAAATTATTGCAAAATGTCTGAGTAACAGGATTAAAATAAACATAATGATTTACAGAAAGATGCGCTGCAATTAAAAAACAATGCCCTTGGCCCCTCACCATGTTTCTCAACCAGGCATGACAATACTTAGTTGTCCCAAAGCAAGCTCTGCAGTTTTATAACTGAAGTCATGAAATGAAGCTAAAAACAAAAAGCTATAAGCAAAAATAAACTCTGACTGCATGATACCTTAAACGTTTACCATCCAATACATAGTTGTGCACAGCTTGAATACATCTAACAGCATCTTCTTCTCTAGCATAAGTAATATATCTGAGCAAAAGAAAAAAATAAGACAATATTTACACAAAAAACCACAGTTAAGTTCAAATGACGAATGATAATTTCAAATTTTCAGCTGCCAAAATACATTGCCTGTGAATAAGACAATACAGAAAATGTAGCAAAATCTTTTCAAGTGCCTGCAGTTTAAGAACAGTTACAACAGAAAGTTTGACTAATAACCAAGACAATAATTGATATGATGATGGTTAAAGTATAAAGAATGAATTTGCAAGAGAGTTATCATGATTATAACAAGTAAAAAATACTTACATATTGCCATTAGATGCCTGCTGGTTCGTTGTACTAGCAGAACGAGAAATTGACACCTTCAATATTTCCCCATACTGACCAAAATATTCCTTGCGCTCAAGAAGCTGAAATCGTATTGAGAAAGGATGATTTAATCTCAAACAAAAAAACACAAAGCTATCAATGCGAAGGGAAGACTCACACTTTCATCGCATAAGTCCGCAGGTAATCCAATTATGTAAACAAGATTCCTTTGTACCACCCGAACAGTGCTAAGGTGCTTCCTGGCTTCAGCTGATACTTTGCTTTTACCCTTTTGGGATCTGTGTCTTCTCCCTCCATTCATTTCCGCCACCAACCTGCCCATATAGGATAAAGTATGAAGTTGCTCAGCAGATAGTACAAAGAAGATTTACATGGGTAACACTTAAATCCTACATATTCACATATCTAATGCCTAAACTTCAATTTTTACATATATGCCACCTTACCTATGGATGGATGAAAAGGTGTATTTCCACTTTTTAAAAGTTAAAAGAGTAGTATATTTCATGGGATATGAAACATTTCGTTGGTATAAATGTAAAAAAGTAAATTTTAAGTGTTAGACATGTAAAAAGAAATTTCCTTCAGCATTCAGATGGCACAAGTTAAAACCTCTCGCAGTTTACAGACATTCCAACAATTCTCTCCTTATCATATGGAGTGCGACATGCAGGACAACGCCCTTCTGTCTTCTCTTTCTCAGCCATTTCCATAATATGATGCCAGCACCAAACACAAATCTGAGAAGAAGGTAAAAGAAAGCATAAATAAAAACTATGAATCAATCACCTGATAACGCTGAAATCTGAACTTTTTTCTGATAAAATAGGAGCAATATCAGCCGAACTATAAACCATAGCTACTGAATAATTGTTCCACCCAAAAAGGGCTATTTCTACCTCATATCCACACTTGCATGGTTTCAACTGCTGATCAGTGATGTCCATCTCCTCCGCACAGAGGGGACATACAGTATCTCCATCGTCGCTGACGCTTGACCTTCGCAAAATCAAAAGGCAATTTAGAGCAAAAGAACCAAATTACGAAATAAATTGAAGGCATATCGCACACTCCGAGTTATCACTAATTCAGGTAATATTATCCACCATCAAACTCCCTTTCCTTGGCCTCAACCTCGACACATGCATGACAAAATAATAACAAACCCTAAAAGCGCAATCTTTCTGATTGCCAACCTTGCACTTCTACAGAAGAAGCAAAACCAATTACAGCCTTACAGAATACTTCGATTAAGGAGAAATAAAACAAAAATTTACAAAGACACGAAAAGTAGCTCAAACAACACCAAAGCACACATAGTCAAGATCCACAGACAAATACAAAGAAGAGTAACAACATCGCTACAGGGCAACAGATAGCTAACACAGCAAAGAGTCCCAACTTTCAACAAGTCTACCGCCAACCGATCGATTGAAGAAAAGTTGAAAATCAAGGTTATCACTCGCAAGATCGGAATTTGCTTACATTCGGGGGGGAATCGGTGCCATGGCTGAGCTCGAATCGATGCCTAAGAGAGATTGAATGAGAGAGAGTTGGAGCCGAGCGAGAATCGGGAAAAGCAGATGGCAACGAAGTGAACGAACAGATCGAAATCCTCTTGTTTCTCTCGTGGATTTTGGTTGCGTGCCGACCTCTTTCTGCGTATCTCCCTTAAGAAATGGCTTTGCCTCTACTTTAATATCTGCCCTTGTGCTTTCAGTCGAACTACGCTTTTACCCTTCGTTGACTTTAGTCAGCCGATCTTGTGAGTTTAGGCTGCGCCTCATTTAAAATTTATCTTCTTACCACAAGACTTCTCTTTGAAATGGTTTGAAAAGTGTTTATTTGTGTTGGGCTTGAAATACTTTTTTGTTATTTTGGTTTCACTTGAATTGATTTATTAGAATAAAAAATTAGGATGGTTGCAAAAGTATCCACTAAATTAAGATTTAATAAATGCACCTCCGGATCGATTTACTGAATCTGAGATTTAAGCTAAGTGGGAGAAGTTATTGGGTTTAAATGGATGGAGGAATTTAATAGAGGAAAAACTGTTTGATGGATTTATGTTAAATCCAACATAAATTCATCTCAAGTGAGGCTACCGAACACCCTCTATGAGTTTTTACATAGAAAGTACTCAAAACAGTGTATCTTGCACCCAAACTTCAATAGTGGAAGCATCTAAAACTAGCAAAATCCCCAAAAAAATCACTCCTTAGTAACTCCACTTTTCCCTCCCTTTGTTTATCTCTCGCGCATAGCAAGTGTAGCCCACCAAAACAGTGTTTGAAGGCTACCGAAAGCTCTTCCTTCCTCCCTCTCCCGCTGCTCGTTCTCCTGAGACGACAGTAAAGGGATCGTAGTGTACAGAGATCCGAAATTCCTACCTTTCTCCTCTTTCCGCTAGGTTCCAACCAAAAGATAACTTCACATCTTCCTTTCAATGCTAAAGCCCGTCTCGTATTTACTAACCGCCGACTCACTTGAAACCCCTGCCCGGTCGACCGATCACTTAGGGCTAACTGGTTGCCTCGGTCCAGTCGACAGATTACCTAGGTTAGACCGACCCCCACGACTCGGTCAACCGATCAACTAGGTTCGACCGACCCCCACGGCCCGATCAGCCAACCACTTTCGTCCGATCAGCCACCCTAACCCAGTTGATCAATCGCTTGGGTCGAATCGACCGCCCCAAACCCGACTGACCCATTGGTCATTTTGTCCTGGGTTGACCACTTTGGGCAACCCAATGGATCAAATAGCCAACATCACTTGCATTATTTATGTTTTGCATGTGCATTTGCATCATTTTCATGATGTGTATGACTTGCTTTGCATCCACACCTGTGTGCATGAAAAATACTTTTAATGTGCATTTTGATGAGTGCATTTGCATGTTACTCTACCTTCTGCATGTGTCATATTAGGTGTCTCTTCAAGCACTAGAACCCGCAGTATTTTTCCCACTTGTGTATCACATGTGTTTGAGACTCGATACTTACATTCCTTTAGTGATTGGCGGCTAGCTATGCTATTTTTTAGTGTGTGAATTTCCCTAGAGGATGACACACACTTCACCTCTTATGGCATCATTTGATTGCCACAAGCTTTACATGTTGTTCACTTAATTTGGGTCTTGCATTAGAGCCCCTAAACTTGTCGAGTGTGCAACATGTATGCATTTGAGTTTTGTCATTTGCATGTTACTTGATGATCTTCCATCGTGTTTTCTCATACCCCATCTAAGTAACCACCTTGTTGAACTTTGTGTGATGTTTGCTTGCATTTGCATTTGAATGTACGCTTTGGTAGTGAGCTAGATTAGAAAGTGAGCGACCATGTGCTGGTCGCGATGCTTTAACAAGCATTATTCGTTGAATAGATCTCAGGGAGCAATGTGAGTCAAAGCATCGAGATTGACACAAGTATGACTGTGTCAAGGATCCAAGAAATCAAACTTGTGTCACCTTACATGTTATGGCTCTGCCTCTAATGACCCTATTTTAAAATGAGAAAATTATTTTTCTATTTGTAATATTCATCCCAATTTTTAAACTATTCAATTAGCAAGCTAAACAATATATAAGGCCAACATTTTTAAAAATTCATCTTGGGACACGTTTGTTGGATCCCTTGGATCTTTAGAACGAGGTCGGAATTTGTGACCCCTTCAAAGTCATACATACCCGAAGGCTTTACCCTGAGTACTTAGATGTTGGTTAGGAAGCTTCTCAATAGATAGTGTGCTAGCCTAGGAATAAGGTGCCATATAGTCTTTTTTATGCCTCTTGCTATTGTTCTTTGTCGCTTATTTGGTCTAGCCATACATCACTTTTGTGCTTTTTTTGTGTGCTCGTATACCTTTTTTGATATGCATGGTGGTATATTAAGATGCTCTTCTATAGGGGGGTCATGCTATATCTATGCACATACACAAGTACAGTATAAGGGGGAGCAACATAATGATTATTACTAACCATTTTTTGCAAGAGCTGTTTAGCTCCCCCACGAGGCATGGCTCAGACATGTTGCATGCTTGTTTGGCTTTCCCGCTGACATGTTTTTGTTCTGGTTGAGTCATTTTTTACTTCTATTGATATTTTGTAGATTCTTTAGAAGAGTTCTGTAGTGGAAATAAGATACGAGCATGGGATTCAGGGTGTACCATGGGACCAGGACCAGATGTTTGTGTCCCTTATCTTAATTCTACACTTTACAATTTTATTGTATAGAATTAGGATCGGGCATGTATATGTGGAGTTCGACTACCTTTCCTTTCTAGGATATGTCTCTAACCCAACGACATCACTCATTTATTTATTTTATATATATATATATATTTGGTTTGTTTTTCTCTGTTTTCTTGCATATGTTTCTATGCTTGGATTGGCTTCGCTTTTTTTTTTTCTTGTGTTGTCTAGGAATAATGTGAATCACCTAGGTTCGTTAATCACCCTAAAATTGTAAACTTTCTACAAAATCTTAATATTAATATTAATTAAATTTTAGGGTTAAAATATTCAGTACTTTTAAAAAAAGTAATTTACTTTTTGCATGGCCTTTGAGCCAGTTTTAAAATGGCTCCCATGCATGGCTATATCCCAGTCATCCCTAATAGAGCATCCATGCTTAGAACTAGATAATTGTAACATGTTGCATGTCTTGAGAAGAAGTCCTTGTGCTTCTTCAACTCGACTGGTCAAGCATAAGTTTTATATTTAGGTGGTAGTCTAGCACGTTTAGAATGTTAGAAGCTTCCCCGACCCAGACAAGATGTAAGTCCTTTTGTGCAGAGTGCTCATAACTTTGTAGCTAGACTACTTCTTTCCTGTTTTTCCTAAGGCAACTTCGTCACCTATCTGTGAGTGTGAGTCCCACTCCTAAGTTATAGGACTAGAGTTTCCTTCTTTAAAACTTAGGGCTACATAGGTTCCCCGTGGATGATGCAATTCACAGATTGCTGACCGGGGATCTCTAGACATGTTGGGTCGACTACCTTCACAACCAGGTAGACTTAGGTTCTTAGTGGGGCTGGGATGACAAGTTATGGTACCCCAAACCGGCTACCTCTACCTTTTATGAACTTTACCCTTCCTTTTGTTGAGCACCTTTAAGCCTTATCGCTCCTTTGACGTCATTGAAATCACCTGTGTTGCCACCCATTTGGGATATGATAATTCACCCTCTATCCTTATAGTCCGGTGAGCTCTAACGAAAAGAGATATCCCGTCGAGATGATTTTATTTATTTGGTAGGTTTTGATGTCGACGAGTTGCTACCAATTTAGGATGTAGAGAATCACTCTCTACCTTATGACTTAGCAAAAGATTTGAAAGTATCCGGGCATTCTCATACAAAATAATTATCCTTTGATGACCTATTCTTCAGGTTCATGATAATGTAAGTAAAACTTCTTTTATCCAGAGTAATCTTGGGTATTCTCCAAGATGTAATTAACTAAAGGGATGCACCCCTTTAGGAGACTCTTAACCCCAAAACAAAATATTCTTTTGGTTCTCTGGTTATGAGTGGCTTATGTATGGATTCTTTTCGTGGATAATGATTTTCGAGGTATTTCGATCCGATTTTGTTTAGAAGTATCGCGACCTATAACACGAGGATTACCGTTATATAAGTCTTCCATGTTTCTTTTTAAAATTTGTTTGTCTATTTTTTATCATATATCCTTCTTTCGATTCCTCTCATCTTCGAATCATCTGTACGATATGAAGAGGAAGATTTATTCGAAGAAGGGAATAATACGATGACATATAAATAAACAAGCTAGCGACGTTGAGTTTATATTAAGAAAAAAAGTAATGTCATTGTGGTGAGTTGTGATGATATATGCAGGGCAACAGGGAGGGTCGGAGTTGAGAATTGCACAAGCTATAAACCATGTAGGTCATGATGGCGAGTTGTGACAACGTCTATAGGTTGTTGGGGTCGAAGTCACATGAGCTATGAACCACATAGATCGTAATTGGTGATTACAGATTTCCTTGGTGCCGTAGACAAAAAAAAAGTTACATAATTTCTCATGTTACACTGTCTGTGCTTAGGAGGAATTGTTTCTCCATGTTAGGGAGCGGGTGGAACCAATAGCCTAAGGTGGCGGTGACCAGTAGGGGCTGGTGGAAGAGGTAGCGGTCCGAGGCTGCGACAGTTAGTAGAGGCAGCAGAGGCCAAGGTTGGTGCCAACAAAAAGAGACAACAGTTAATGCGACCCAAGACATTGATGACTGGAATTGGCTGGGGGTGGTGACGACGGCTAGAGATGGTCAAAGGCGGTCTAAAGGCGGTCGTGGCCGGAAGGCAGTGGCTGAAACTTGAGATGGCAGTGGCGGCCTGAGACAGTGATGAATCAAGGGTGGCTTGAGACAGAGGCAGTGGCAGGAAGGTCGCAACGACCTGAGATAGTGATGGTCGGAAGGCAGCGATGGCCGAAAGGCAATAGAGGTCGGAAGGCAACGACATCCGGAAGCTTACGATGGCTTGAGATGATGACGGCGACCAAAGGACAACAACAACGGCCAGAAGGTGGAAAATGCATGAGATGGCGGGGACGGCCGGGAGGCGGTGGATGTGACCCTAGATGACGACGATGGTTGGACAGCGGCAATGGCATGAGAAGATGACATAAGAGGCTAGGCTGCAGCTCCCTCTTTATGCATGCTCTTCCCTCTCTAGCTCCAGGTCATGGTCCCCTTTCAAGAGGGGTTTAAGGCTCTATTTATGGAGTCTAAATTGCAAATATGGAAGGAATTCAAAACATTCTTGATCAGACGACTCAGAGAGATCCCCTTCTTTAGATGTGATTTGATTGACATTTAATTGTCTTACTGATATCAAAATTAAGTGATCTTAGGTTTGTTGGATTCATCTTGTCGAGACGCTTGATTTAACTATCAACATGTCATATTTGACATCTGTTTGACCTTCCAATTATATCTGAAAAGCTTTCAAAAATTGTTAAATGGCTTTATCTGGGCTTGATTTTACTTAGATTATGTTGATTTTTGTATCGTTGGGTTCGTCTCGTCGAGTCAGCCAGTTTGACTATATGTTACTCAAATCGTAGCTCTGGATGACATTCAATCATAGTTTGAATGTGATTTGCCTCAAGGTCTGTGTCATGCTTTGAGATTCAAGTTGGATGTTAGAAATTTGTTAAAGGCGTATCAAATATAAATGTTAGATCTGTATCGAGTTTTAGATCAAATTTGTTTTTTAATCTTATTTTGGGCTTGTGGAGGGTAGATGATGTCAATATGCTCAAGTCATTGAAAGATTTATTGTTTTGCCTTCTTCTTGTTTGTTTTAGAATTTAAGAACCTTTGCTTAGTTATTTCAAGCTTGTGAAATCTCGCTTAAGCAATTTTAACCACACGCGGTTGGAAAGCTTAGTTTACTTAAAATGATCATAATATTTACTCCCAAGTAGTTATAGGCAAAATTTTCAAAATAACTTTTTCATAAATTTATTATTTTAAATAAATGCTAAAAAATAAAATATTCCAAAATCACCATATTAGCAGACGATTTTGCCACGTGAGCATGCAAAATCACATGCTGGCGTGGCGCTTTTTTCCACACCAGCAAACAAATTCGCCGACTAAAGTGGCGATGTTGTTAACAAAAAATTATTCAAGATATTATATATTATTATTATTATTATAGTATGAGATCATAAAATCAAGCTCATTTAGCTCATTTGGTAGAGTCGAAGGCTTTTATTTTTGTGGTGGTGGGTTTGAGCCCCATTATGATTTTTTTGTTGACTATCTACCTTGTTAGAGTTGTTCTATGAATAGATTGATTTCATATGCAAGTACATGTTGCACTCATAAACAATGGCATCGGTAGTTATCCACTTTTAGCACATGAGCACTTTGGTGAGTATGTGTGCTTATTAATTTCCATATTTAATAAAATGGGCAGTGAAGCTCTTCAAAAGTATCATGTACAATTTAAAGCTAGACTTAAAGGTAATAAAAGTGTTGGCATCAATTTTTGATGCCACGAGCATTGGATGTCCTTGCAAGTGATATGTGATTGTATAACGTTCATACGTAGCTACCCCATGTGGTGTAGATTCCCTTAAAAATTGATTATTCCTGCGGAGGTTATAAAGAATATTTAAGCAAACATTATGTCTCTAAGAAAATCTACCATGGGGCTCGAAACCAAGATAACGAAGTTATGAGTCTCGCACTACAAAGTAAGCTAAATAGGCTTGAGCATAAATATGAGATTTTAAATACAAGCTATGCAGGCTTAGTCTCAAGCGACACCAACTTCCAGGAATATCTCGTTTGGATTTGTGATATTACTTAGCTATGCACTTCTAGTTATTCTGGCTTATTCCTTATGATTGTAGCAGGCCTTGATGGCAATAAATGTTTAACTATAAGAAAGCTAAATAATTAGTGATCATATTATTGTATGGCCTATATATTTTATGTCAAATAATGATTCTATAATAGTTGATTATTCTGGGTTCACTTGTTTATATTATGCCCAAGTCAAAAACCAATAGATGGAGAAATATAATAGGGCAAACAAAGAACTATGAAAATTCAAGAAAATATGTTGAGTATTCATTCATTAGAAAAAGAGATTAAAAAGATTTGTTGTTGGCTAAGTTGTTATCGGTTCAAATTATAGTATTATATTAGTGGCGTTACACCAAATGATTCGAACTTGTAAGTGATGTTGATGTTCTTGCAATGAGTGCAAGTTTAAAGGGGAGAAGTTGTGTTGGAATGTGGGCATAATTGAAGAGAGTGCAGAAGTGATTATGCACTCATGAGAAGTAGTTTCAAGCAATGACAATAGAGCATTTAATGTAGTTCCGACTTTTGACAATTACAATGAAAATTTTGGAGATTCTAAGGATTTTGTGGTTGGCAATGTTTTTATTTATTCTCTTACTTTCAAAAATACTCTCCGATCCTATGTCATTAAGAATAACTTTGGAGTGAAAAATCAAGCTTGTAACAAACGTCGAGTTATAGTCATATATTCATATAGAGGATGCTCTTAGAAAATGTGAGCTTCATTTACAATAGATGAGCAATTCTTTGAAGTGAGAAAATTTAATTATATGGAACTCATTTATGCCTTCGGGTGAAAAGGGCAGGTAACAAAGTGACAACTTCATCTTGGATGGCGCAACAGATTGAGGATGTTAATTGGAAGAATCCCGACATTAGTCCAAAAAACATTAAACATACATTAGAGAATTTGTATGGATTATCACGACCATAAATGAAATTTTGGAAGTCGCATGATGAAGCTCTCAATAGTATTTTGGATCAGTATATGATAATTACAAATGAGTGTCCATCTTACAAGCTGAGTTGATTAATATAAATCCAAGATCATATATTATTTATATTTGTAGTAGTCTTGATAATTCTTTTAAAATATTTTTCATAACTTTTAAAGTTTGCATTGATTACTTTTTAGCAAGTTGTAGACCTCAGATAGAGCAAAATGCATGTCATCTAAAGTCAAAATACCTGGCTATTTTATTAGTTACAATTTCATTAAATGGTGATAACAATTTATTCACTCTAGCTTTTGCAGTTGTAGAATCTGAGTTGAAAGCCAGTTAGAAATGTTTTTTTTAGAAAGTTTATCAGTTTTTATTTAGTCTGATTTGTAACATCTAAACTTTATGTTCTAATTTGTAATGTTTGATGCCAGACATGGAGAAGAGTTTAGGAGATGTCATTGAGATTATTTTTCTAGATGTAGAACAGATAATTTGTAACACGGTCATAGAGTTAAAAGTCTCATAGCCTGAATCACTTCTGTTGTTGTTGGCTTCAATTATTAGCATATGTTCAAGACTTAAGGCACAAGAGAATCAAAAGCTAGAAAAATGATTTTTAAACAATGTTGAAATAATTTGTTAAAATTAGTTTTGATGAACATAAATGTGAAAAATGATTGTAAATAAGTGATATATGTAACAAATGAGAAGCAAAACCACATAATTGAAAGAGCTCATATTAAACCCCAAAACATTACTTTTACGATTGTTACAATAGTACATTATTTCTACAACCTCAACCTTTTACGTCCATAAATTTTTAATACATTGACAACATAAGATACGTAAAAACACCCATAATAACTGTAATAGTTAAACCATGGAAGACAATCAAAATGTTAATAAAAAAAGTTAATTCATCAGAATTTCTTTTAGCTATTTCCTCATAAGTTCTCTTAGCTAAATCTTCACAATGTTTTCTATCAGTGTATTCTTTGTCAGAAGTTGCATCATCTCATTCATCAATTTATTTGAAGTTGTCAGAGAGATGTAAAATTTTCTCCTACTATTGTCACCTTTATGGGCTGAAAATACAGTACATTGCAATTTGGAGTGACAATATTCTTCGGGAAATTAAGCGCCCTTGGAAGCTGATGATTGCATTGAACTAATAGTTCACAATATGATACCTGCATAAAGGTAAATTAGAAATATAGGACAACATACATGAAATCCCGCTCATGGATGATGTGAAACATATAATTATGCAGCTCTAAATATATATATATATATAG